TGCTGGACATGACGGGCCTCCTGGACGACGGCGTGGAGCAGGACCCCGGCACCATGAGCATGTGGGACTGCACGGCGGCCGTGGCGCGCACCTGCATCGCCCAGCAGCAGGGGGCCCCCCCGGGGCCGGGGCCAGCCCCCGTCCCCGTGGAGGTGCGCGTGGACCTGCGGGTGAACCGGGCCTCCTACGCCTTCCTGCGGGAGGCGCTGCGCAGCAGCGTGGGCAGCCCGTTGCGGCTCTGCTGCCGGGACCTGCGGGCCGAGGACCTGCCCATGCGCAACACAGTGGCCCTGCTGCAGCTGCTGGACGCGGGCTGCCTGCGCCGCGTGGACCTGCGCTTCAACAACCTGGGCCTGCGGGGCCTGTCGGTCATCATCCCACACGTGGCCCGCTTCCAGCGCCTGGCCAGCCTGCGGCTGCACTACGTGCACGGGGACTCGCGGCAGCCCTCGGTGGACGGGGAGGACAACTTCCGCTACTTCCTGGCCCAGATGGGCCGCTTCGCCGGTCTGCGGGAGCTCAGCGTGGGCTCCTCCCTCCTGTCGGGGCGCCTGGACCAACTGCTGAGGTGAGTGGACCTGCCTCTGCCGCCCGGGCGTGCTCCCCCTGCCCCCCACCAGCTCGTGACCCCTGTCCCCCGCAGCACCCTCCAGAGCCCCCTGGAGAGCCTGGAGCTGGCCTTCTGCGCGCTGCTGCCCGAGGACCTGCGGTTTCTGGCCCGAAGCCCCCACGCCGTCCACCTCAAGAAGTTGGACCTCAGTGGCAACGACCTGTCCGGGGGCCAGCTGGAGCCCTTCCGGGGCCTCCTCCAGGCGGCCGCCCCCACGCTGCTGCACCTGGAGCTCACCGAGTGCCAGCTCGCCGACTCCCACCTGCTGGCCACCCTCCCCGTGCTGACGCGCTGCGCCCAGCTGCGCTACCTCGGGCTCTACGGCAACCCGCTGTCCGTGGCGGGGCTGAAGGAGCTTCTGCGGGACTCGGCGGCGCAGGCCGAGCTGCGCACGGTGGTGCACCCCTTCCCCGTGGACTGCTACGAGGGCCTGCCCTGGCCGCCGCCCGCCTCCGTCCTGCTGGAGGCCTCCATCAACGAGGAGAAGTTTGCCCGCGTGGAGGCGGAGCTGCACCAGCTGCTGCTGGCCTCCGGCCGGGCCCACGTGCTCTGGACCACGGACATCTACGGGCGCCTGGCCGCGGACTTCTTCAGCCTGTGACCCGCCGGGGCTCGCCAGGGCCTGGGCGCGGAGCCCCCTTCCTGCTCGGGGCGGCGCTGACCCCACACTGCTGTGTCCCGCGGCCCCGCGCCGAGGG